TAAGTTGAGTTTGCCCAGTCCTGTCAACAGCTGGAGAGGTAGCTGTGTTATACAGCAAACAAAATCAACATGGCAGCTGTGGGTCTTTAAACTGGGCTGACAAGAATGATCGAGCAATTTATAATATCTCCTGGCTGGTTTTCAGAAAGAACTGGGCTCTGATTACTTATTTCAGAGTCTTTTGTACAATTAGTTTGCAGGCAATATCATTTTCTCACTTACTACTTAATAGAATCGTGCAGCTAGCTGGCTGATAGAGTAACAACAAATATGTAAAACTCCGCCTGAAGTGCCAGGGGATAATTTGTATATTCCTTTCAGTAGCGTAATGGACTTTTACAGTTTGGTAGTTAAAGGGCTGAGTAATGTAAATTAGTATGATACTTGAAAATAAAAATATATGTCAAATCTTCAGACCCCAAACATATTGCCCTGTGCTATAATAATACAACAGGATTTATGTCAGCCTGTGTCCCCCTTTTCTCTCCTCATGTACTGAGGAATGTTTATTGAAAATCAGTTCCTTTTTCTACTAATTTGCTAAATTTTATTATCCCAATCAAAAGATGAGAAAATACTTCTAATACACTGTGCCCATCAAGAACAACTGACTCACTAAAATTGTGATGCCATTTGATCCTGAGATGGCAGGTGAACCACTAAACCTTAGGCTGCATAACCAGCTCTCTGATTTTACATGCTTCAGACTGTCATCTTTACACACAGCTCGAGGATAAGGTCCCTTTTTTTTTTTGCCTCACAGATGAGGTTTGGATGTTACCCGAATATGATGTGGAGATGCACTACAATTTTAATGGTACACAAACTTACTCAATGGCTTTACAAGTCAGGCAACTGACTGAACTTAGCCAAGGTGCTCAAAACCATTTTGGCCACTTCTTGCACAGAATTGACAGTGACATTAAAGGTAACAGAAGAAAAGCGGCAAAAACGATGACAAAGAAGAGGCCACTGAAAGCACTGGGCCTTATGCCTTGGCACAAGTTACTGCCATCAGCTGTTACAACTTTAGAACCTCACAGATATCAAGAGTGAGATGCTGGCTCTAGACACTGGATCTGATCTGTGGGACAGAGATCTGTGTCAAGACTGGTTGTCCCCAGGCTACCCATCTCCTAGAGCTGGAAGTTGGTGATGGGCAGATGAGTGAAGCCCCCATAATCCTGAGGAGATGGTTAATGACTTGCTATGCATATTGCAGGCTCACAAGTCCATGGGCCCTAATGAGATACACCCCACAATAATGAGGGAACTGTCAAAAGAACTTGCTAAACCACTCACAATCATCTACCAGCAGTCCTGAATAACTGGAGAAGTTCTGGCTAACGGGAAATCAGCAAATGTGACACCCATCTATAAGAAGGGTCGGAAGGAGGATCCATGGAACTACAGGCCTGTAAGTCTACCCTGAGGTCCAGGCAAGGTCACGGAGGAGATCATTCTGAGTGGCATCACATGGCACATGCAGGGCAACTAGGGGATCAAATCCAACCAACATAGAAAAAAAACTGAGGGAAATTAATTATTTCTTCAGTGCAATACTTTTATCCTATAATCAGTGCATGAAACTCTATTTTGATATCTCTATTTATATTCAATAATGCTTTTTCTCGCCAAATTTCTTTTTGTAACTCTCTGTAACTTAATACCTTTTATTTTGCCAAAAACTTATATTTAAAAAGCAAGAATTCTCATTATTATCTATAGAGACTATTGCATCACTGAATTCAAGTCCTTCTGCAGTAAGGATTACCCCAGGTACCACCTTCATGCACTGTTTTCCTGGGTGACAGACCAAAAGAAATACACCTGCTTGTCTGTGAGTTGGTATGCATGAAAACTCTGATTCCAGCCATAGGTC